AGAGAGAGAGAGAGAGAGAGAGAGAGAGAGAGAGAGAGAGAGAGAGAGAGAGAGAGAGAGAGAGAGAGAAAAGAAAACGAAGAAAAAACAAGCAAAACGAAAATGAACTCAACGAAGTGAAAAAGAATTCAAAGGAATTTTGCTTTTATTTGATTTTATTTTCTTATTTCATAAAAATAGATAAGCATGTGTTATATTTGTGTGTGTGTTTTTATTCTGCCATTGATGTGGAATGTGAAACGTTTTATGTGATGATTTCGTTTCGTCGGCGCTCCATTCATTGCCGCCACGATCAATGTGAAAATTAAGATGATTCCGACTCAAGTTGAGTGATATCACTAGTTTGTTCTTTTTCTTGATTCATCACATTAGACAGCGAGTGCAGAAGAAGGGGATGGAGAAAGAGAGGCGAACAAGCTAGTAAGCAACCGAATGAGCAAACAAGCGATTGCATGCAGTAACGAAACAGTTTGTAAACATTCGTAAACTCGGTTGGAATTTTAAGTGATATTCAATTCGCTGATAATAATCAAATGATTTTTTTCTTCGTGGCTCCGGCGCAGAACATTCAGAACAGTCTCGGTTCAATTTAAGCGAACAAAAGGCGACTTTGTTTTTTTTTTCGCGTCTGAGTCAGGCTTCTGATGATTGAATTTGTTCACATATTCATCACCAAAATACATCATTAATATTCAGAAAACGCATACACAAATCCACGCACTAACAGTGTGTGACTGTTTTCAAGCAGCCCAACAGCCATTAAAAATGAAAGCAGAGCGATATGGGGAGAAAAAAAACGTTGGCAATTCCTTGGTGTGTGAGTCGCCTGCGTTTGCTTTCTTTTTTTTTGGTCGATTTTTCTGTCCCTATCTCCGATTCCGATTCTCGATGTGTGCTTTAGACATGCTCGCCAAAATTTCAGCGCCGACATAATCTCTTATGTAAGATGAAATTGTAAAATCGAAATTCGGCTCGGTGTCCCGTGTTGTATGTGGCGGATCACATATGTCGCATTAATGATGCCATGTCTGTTTTCGCTGCTGCCGAACGCTTTTTTTTTCTCTTTACAAATTGCGTTCACTCTCACTGTTGATGGCCGAGTACACATCACTTCAATTTATTCGGACAGCAAATTGTTCGACGTCTTTCCCTCTCAATCGTCTTCTCTCTCTCTGTCACTCGCAAACACAAGTTTGGAATTGAGCAATGATGCACAGAGTGTGTGGCACACTGTATGTGAAGATTCGTTGTTGCGATTCGGAAAATGGCTTGTTTGAAATTCGAATCTGGTTTGGTTTTTTGCAACAAAATTCGCTTCCGAGAATCCATATGTCGATTCTAATTGGAGTTGAGTTTTTCTTTCTCTGACAACTGGTTTTCTGAGTTCTTAATTTAGAGTTAATTTGGCGTTGAACGATTTAGAGCCCGGCCCTGGTGATTAGTTTAATCAAGTCATTATTTAATGTAACGGAATTTTTTTCCTTTTTAAATGGAAGAATGTGATGTATGTTTTTTCTCACGCATTTCAATTTATCCGATTGATCGATTTATATCGACCGTTTTCTCACACACCATCGAACGAATAGACCACAGTAAAATAAACCGCTCACCAGGGTACAATCGCTTGAGAATATGTGCGACGTGAGTGTGAGACTGCAGTGAAGCGGGTAATTTTCGGCAAAACGGTCAAAGAATGGCATTTATTTCATTGTCCCGTGCCCAAAACGGAATTGGACACAATTTTACCGTTGCGAATTGGTGTTTCGTATAATGAAAGTTTCAATGTTAAATAAACGTCAATAATCATTCGTCGGACACATTGAAATGAAGAAAAAAAGCGCTGGACGACGACGACGACGACAGTGGTGGCAATAATGACAGTAATCGTAGCCAGCAATGCGATGCCTTGATGATATAATCCCCGATGAATAATTAACAAATATTTATATAGATTCAATCATTTATATTCACGTCGGTCTGACACATTTGTGTATATAAATGAAAGGCAGAGACAGAGCTAGACAAAGAGTCGAGAATGAGCAAGGGTGGTTTTCTATTCGCTTTCTCTTCCTCTCCGAGTATATGTGGAGAAAAAAAAAACGGAAATGTCGCCATAACTCTCTCTGTTTGTGTGTCGTGTGCGTGTTTATGGATCGCTTGAAAGCTACACGAACATGATACATCAGTTTATATATTGAGCT